GCCGCGGTTGGGTAACAATTATGTCGTAAATACCATATGCCCTTATTAGCATGTTCTTATGTCAACGATACGATGGTTATCCATCTAGATGTGGATATAATCGTAGCCTAGGTGCAAGGCAGAGAATCGGACCACATGAAAGTGATAATACGTCTTAGAATTAACATAAAATTTAAGAATTTTAAACTTGGCAAATAAGAGCCAGTAGATAAACCTTGCGTCATAAATAACATAACAGGATCCTTATATAATCCGATAAATCCAAATAACTTAGTAATTATCCATAAATATGCAATTAGCTATTGAAAACGCTTAATATCAAGATTAAGCGTTTATTAATAATATCTTAGTTTTATGAATTTTCCAATTTTACAGATTTTACAGAGATTCTGTTGTAACTTTATGACACCAGGTAAGCTAACTGATGAATATATACTCACATTGACCATTTCGAGAACTTAAATTTTATGTTCATTCTCAAACGTAGTATCACTTTAACTAGATGACCTGTGAATAGCCTGTTTGTACACGATATATTTATATTTACCATAATTATCATCATAACATCTCCCACGCTCATTAAATCAATTCTTAATTACTTGGCAATGTTAATTAAATAAAAATAATATATGCATGTAATACTGACCGGTAGGCCTACATCATTATCAGTTGTAATGACCAAACAGAAACGCAATCCTTGATATCTCAAAGCACGTTTCTTCTTAATGTTGCATAGCGGCAGAGCATATTCTCCTTTCTTGGGTACTAACTAATAGTGTAGCTATATATCTAAATAATTATGAGCAAATTTGGCAAGTCTTCATTGCTTAGAATGTTTATTTGGTTTTATGGTTTGTCAATTCAGCATTACTTTAGAGAGTCCACATAGCTAAAATGTTTATCGGAATGAAGGTCAACTTCGACACCCCCCTTCAGAGAGTCCACCCACATAGCTAGTTATAATTGTTGTTAGCTTTTCTAACATTACACCCCTTTCATAGGGTCTGCACTAATACATTTACTTTTTTGGAGTGTGGGGGGGGGGGGGAGGGGGGGTTCTAACAGCATCCCTGTCAAAGAATCTATATAGCTAATAATATTAAGGGTTAAGCTTTGACATCACAACATCTATTTCCACGATCCATTGTTTAAAAATCAATGTTGCAAATTTAACTCGAGTTACTGTAATTATTTTACAGTCCAATATTCATAGTTTTTGTATTATAATTCTCGCCCACTGCCCAGCTGTTACAAACAAAGATACATTTACTTAATCCATCGTGTGTTTTCTAATGAAATTTTAAATATATAGCTTATACATTTATTGATACACCTTGTAGAATGACTCTGATGGCCCATGATCGCTCAGTGAGAAGGGCGCTTTGTCACTATTATGAAGATCCAGTGCGTAATTTCGGCATAGGTTGCGAGACATGCCTCCTTTTCGGTGATGCAGGTCAGGAAACCAGCATGGAAAAGACAACTAGTTGTTCATTTAGGGCATAGATCGTGTCCTGTAGATTGTGTACTTTAAATAGACAGTTGGACAAAGATAAGAAGTAGACTTCTGCTGATGCACCGGCAATAGGTCCCATTGTCAAGTCGTATTTAAGATTGAAGCAAGTATTTCTATGACTTTATCTCTCCATAGAGTCTGTAACCTCTATGTTGTAAAAATACGAGTTTATTTGTCGATAATGAGGAAGGAGAACGGTAATTAGAGCAGTCATGTCTAAGGCTTAAATCGTGATTGCTAGACTAGACACAGTTGAAATACATTGGTCAATCAGAATCTCTCTAATGCCTTCAACGCTGATTCCCATTAAGAACAGAGGAAATTTCCTGGACGACAAATTGGATGGTAGCATTTGTAGAGCGACCAAATATATGAGAATATATGAGAGGCTTATTAAAATGAATCTACGAAATGTTAAATCTGCTACTTATCTGCTCGTCTGTGATCTCTAGTGCTGGTTGTGTCAGAGTGGTTCAGCAATCGGGTGTTTATGACCAAATTAATGCCGAGACGTTACTCAGAGTCACCTCAATCCAATATCTCGTAGAAAAATATGTAACTATTCAAAACGTTTCTACTTTAATACGATAGCCACAACTAATCTCAAAATCTGATGAGATCCCGATTCAAGCCACCTGATTGTGGGAACTATAATTCTTGCTTTCTGTAACGGATTCAGTAGTATCATATGTGAAGAGATATATATAGTGAGATGGGATTCAGTCTTGAAGACTATGAATAACTAATCTTTTAATAATGATAATTACACTCAAACCCTGTCTGGACTGTCAAAACTGGTCATTTTTATTGATGGTATCTAATTAGTGGATTGATCGCTAGAAGGGAACCCTTTTATCATTACAATAATGGCGGAGAAAGTCGGTTCGGTTCTATAATGCTTTGCCAGTGATGATGGACGTGAAAAAAAGCCCAGGTTTTAAGCTGCCGAAGTAGAAAGATAGAAACAATGATTAGGAATGGAAACTAAATATTAGTTGACACTATTTCCCTCATTACGCACTTTACTGTCTTGTCATATTTCATTAGCTCACTCCGTTTCAATTCACTTTCATTAAGTGTTTCAAGATCTATGGCTTTGATCAAATAAAAGTAATTTATTATTATCGGTCATTATGTTAGCGGTTATCAAACTCAACCGGAAGTACCTTTTTATTTCCACTGAAAATTGAATCTGAAGCCAACGAAATTGTAAAATCTCTGAGTTTTTGATGATTAATTTTATTACTTTCTAAAATAGCTGATTTTAAATAGTAATAGATAATAGAGCTAACAGTGAGAATGAGAGGTGTCTATGTTGAACGGCTTCAGAGCGTGGTATATGTCACAGAAACCTTGTATTTCATTTGAGTTATTTTAAAG